CCTATACAGAGTGTTCCGAAATGCTGCAGTTCAAAGACTTCTGATATCATCATATAAACGCTTGGTCGAACACCCTGCCCATGTGGATTTGTCTGAAAACGGGTGCCTTCGCCATGGCGTTGAGCAGTGAACTGGGACCTGACGTTTTCGTGGACCGCGAACTGAAGCAGCTTACAGGGTGAACCAAAATGATGCTTTGCAATGTGGGTTTGTCTTGGAACTTGGAACGGAAGAAATGGTAAGCATCCGGATTGGGCACGGAATCAACGGATAGATTTGATTGGCAATTTTACACCTCTGCTTCGAAGCGGACGAAGGGGGTCATGCCCAAACATATCAAAGAAGTCAAAGAAGAGTTTCTTTGAGACCTATTATATAGTATCGCAAGAATGCACACGTGTACGCACAAGCAATCATGACATCCCGGCGATACGCACATCGCCACATGCCGTCCTGGCCTGCAGTCTTGGCTTTGGGCTGCACTTTGGCCACCGCCGATCGCGGCGACGAGGGCGGTATGACCCCGGCGCCTGCGGCGCCCGGAGCCCCGGCGCGCGCCTTGGGGCTCGGTGCCTTCGGCGTGGCTGGGCGGCTAGGTGTGGCCGAGCGGCTGGGTGCGCTGGGCGTGGCCGCCTTGGGTGTGGCTGCCTTGGGCGTCTGGGGCGGTGTGGTGCTACGGGGCTTGGCTTCGGCCTTGGGGCTGGGCGCACTCCTGGAGATTTGAGGCATACCATTCAATTCGCAGCAGTCTGTGGATTCTTTAGAACACTTTCTGGCCATGCCCTGTACAATCGCCAAACGCGCAAAAGTAACAACAACAGGATCAATAGGTAACACATGAAATGAGCATCTGCAATGCTGAAGTGTCAAAAACTCTTCTGCAACTTAGGGCGCATCAAATCCAGTCCTAGGGTCCTAGGTCCTAGGCCCTATAGGCCTATACTTCTCGTCTCGTGGCCAAAAGTTTCCACAAATTAAAACTGCAATAAATAGACTTTGTAAGTGAACTCAAACATGGAAGTCTGTCCACGCTCCTGGGAGTGCGAGCACCTGCAGCGTTCTCAATCAACAAAGCCTAGATTGAAATCACCGAAAAGCACCCTTTGCTCACCCAAAATACTCACTGCCAGAATTTGGAAGGCAATCTGCAATCTGCTTGGCACCAAGTTGGCACCAAGGACACAAGATTGTTCACTTGACGCAAGAAAAACTGTGAAACAGTCTCAGGCCTGGTGGTGTAGCACCACCGCCTGGCACACTTCCACCAGCTGCACCTGGTACTAGTCGAGCTCGATTCAGAAATTAATGTCAAAGGCGGAGTTACAAAGGCGTTCTAAGACATTCTATGGGACAATCCGAAACACACACACACACACATAAACACAAAGTCAGAGATAGTACTAGTGCCTGTAAGACTGACTCACCTGGACATGCTTCTGTCTCTGCATTGCTTACGGCACTGGCAATTCGAGTCATGATTTTGCGGATATTGCACTCATGTTTTTGCGGATATTGCACACCAATATCTCTTGTGAATCTGCAAAGGTGTCTCCAACACCAAGCCAGCAATTGAACCACCACACACAGTCTCTCATATGTCAGGTGTCATCTCAAGTGGTGGCCACGGGAGCCGTGACAAGTTCAGGCCTTGCAGTGCACGTGGTGGGGTGCGAGCCATGCGCGATGTCGCAGAGCCTCGCGGCTTCCGCCCTTCGTGACAAGATGTTCTCAGCCCTTTGACCTCAAAGCTTAGTTTCGTTGCTTAATTATATAGTTCCTTTGGTTTCTCAGCCAAGAAATGCACATGACATATCATGACATCTTGTTTTCCATCGTCTTGCTCATCGTCTTGCTTCCATCTCTTCACCCGGCTGCTCATGTATCCATGAAGGATCCCCTGGCCTGCTGAGCCCATCGCCTTCGCCTCAGGGTTCAATGACTCCTGTGGCTGGAAAATGGTTGGAGATACAATATACGCTTGCAATTGGCTTAGGGTAACATCGGTGGCGAGATGGCCCAAATCATTGTGGAAACAAGTACAGTAAGAACACCCAATAATGACACCAACGTTCGCTGAACAAACAGACACCAACCGACCGTTCGTCGGAGTCGCTTGACTTCGCTGGATCCCCGGCCAGCGGCACAAATGCTTGGCCCTGTTTCGCCAAGACCTGCACATCTTTGAGCACCGAGAAACTGAAAAAGCTCCTAGTAGCGTTCTTGTTCCTAGTAGTAAGGCCAGGAGCCCCTAGTAGCGTCCCTGCTCCTAGTAGCGATGCCCTTTGCTCCTAGTAGCCTCCTAGTAGCCTACTAGAAACTGACAACTGAAAAGGTCTCCAACATTGAAAACTGGAAAACCCATCATACAATCCATAAAATCCACGAACATTGAACATTCATTAGATGTCCATTATCTCAACAGTCTTGAAACCACAATCAGGGGGTCCCAAGAGGAGATGTTGATTCTCACTCATGATAACACAAACCGCTGATTTTATGAGGTTGAAGATGAAAGATCAACACGGAAAGCGTGTGCTTCTTTTCCAGATCACTGAGATCCACTGGGCCCGAATTTTGGCGACCTTATCAAGCCCAAAGTGCCTATTTCAGCAGTGCAAACACCCAACCAACAGTTTAGGAGCAAGGACACTACTAGGGGCTCCTGGCCTTACTACTAGGAGCAAGGACGCTACTAGGGGCTCCTGGCCTTCCTACTAGTAGCAAGGACGCTACTGGGGCTCCTGGCCTTACTACTTGGAGCAAGGACGCTACTACGGGCTCCTGGCCTTACTACTAGGAGCAAGAAGCTACTAGGGGCTCCTGGCCTTATTGAACATTTCACCCAACTAAAACGTTCAAACGCTTGGAGATGTGCTTTGGACCTGAGCATCTCCTCTTCTCCGCATCTGGTGGTTTCAGAAAAACACCAAAACACCCCGGGATTAACACCAAGGAACAACAAGCTGGGCGGACCTGAAACTACTAGCTGGGTGGACCCGAAATTCCATAATTGTTATGATCTTTATGTATATCTCGCTGGGTCCGGTCATGGAAAAACGCGACTCAATGAGGTCATTATGACCAGGTTTTACTTGGTCCTATGGCTAGAGTAAATCTATACATTCATATCGTCTAGACATCTGTTCTGATAGATGTGACAGGAAACACACACGTCAACACATCTAAGAATTCCGTGTTTAGTTTTGAGATCTTTTTAATGATCTTATAATCAGTCCCTAGTATTCCTAGTATTCATTAGTATTCCAAGTATCCATTTATGATCTTTTGTTCAGTCCCTTTGCATCGCCTCCCAAGCCTCCCCTGATCGTCACACTAGCGACTCGCTCACCTGATCACCGCGGATCTGAACTTGGACATTCTTTTCCCCGATCTGAAACCTCCAGTCTGGTCGGAGGGCCGGTGGCAAATCTTAAAGACATTGGGGTGCCCCCATCAACGAATGGGGAAACTGCTAGCCCATCCCCCAACGGGCCCAATCAAGCTTCAGTGACAGTGAAGAAGGACCACGTCACATTTACAATGTCGCACGGTATTGCGCTCATCTCAAATCATTTCGATGGTGCTCCGAAACTTTCAGCATGTCACCATCCCCTGCTGAATTGTGACACTGTCAAGTTTGGAGGCAGTTTCTTGTGTGCATAGCAGTGTCATTTGACCTACAAGTAGGTCCCCCACGCATTCGCACCTATCCTCACCACCTCCAGCATAGAGCCCGCTTTTCGGACGGCCTGTCGTTGCATCTTCGGAGGCGCAAAAAAACCGTTGCGCTGCGGATCCCAAGCTCGAGGAGTGTACAAGCGATCGGTGCTTGTGCCTCACAGTGCGTTTGTTTGGGAGTTGATGAAGCCACAGCACATCTTTTTGCACCCCATGTTTTGTTATATATTACTTACTGTATTATATTATGGAGTGTGAAAATCATTGGTCGGTGCCTACGCAAGGAGCCTACGCAAGGAAGGAGCCCAACACCACCACAGTTTTTGCGCTCTAAGACTCGGTGTAGCGATGCCCTGGCTCCGTTGCGTCTGGTTTAGCGTCCTTGCTCCGTTCGTAGCGATGATGCCCGAAATGCTCCGTTCGTTTCGCGCCTTGCTCCTAGTAGTAATGCCAGGAGCTACTATAGCGTCCTTCATTTTTTGGGTGTTTAGTTTTGATATGTCTTGATACAGCCGGTCCGTCCAATCGAGGTGTCCATATTTGAAAGAAAGAACGATGTCTTGATACAAATCTTGCTATGCCACTTGTAGAAAATCCAAGACTCTAGCCAAAAAGATCCTCCCTGTTCGTTGCAGCATATACGTCCAGACCCCAGCGTATCCTCGGGGCCCGAGCCACTTTTTTTTCCCGTCATGCCAGGATGGATTCACCGACAGTCTGTACACAGCTCTTGCCTTGTCGCTTTGGAAAAAGCCAGTCGTACGGGTTTTCCAACCCCGTAATCTGTTCAACTGCGAGGTGCCAAAAATAAAACACATCAAGATCAAGAATAATGTTCAAGATGAAACTGTCTGTTCAAATCATCGCGCCTCGTCATGCATATATTAAAAACCGGCTGGCAAGAAACGTTGTCGGGCTGCTAGCCTTTGGAAGACATCTCCGGAAAATACCTTTCGACATTTGTGGCTCAAAGTAGGAAAACCCCCCAACTCTGCTGCATCTGGGCTTGGACTTTGTCCGGATGTGGCGTGCTTCAGCGGTGTCGGGGAGTCTCCCTCCTTTGAGACAGGGCCAAGCCCCGTGAAGGGTATCTGATTGGTCCGAGGATTGAGTGGGTTCTCGGCTGCAGCGCTCTACCTTTCCTCTACGCGACTTGTGGCAAGCAGGTTGCCCAAAGAACACCCGTTCTGCTTTTTGTCAAGAGAATCAGGTTCAGAAAGTCATCAGCAAAACTCCTGCGACACTGGACTTTTGCATGCATCTGATCCTCAGTACCACCTTAATCAGTTGTATCCATGGAACCTTTAAATGTCTCATAATGTCTCCTATGTCACCTATGCCTACCACAAGTCGCTTCAGCCATGGCGGATTGGCCCAGAATCGCTGGCCACGCCATGGCCGCGAGTGTAAGCGGATCGGTCCACTGTGCCCTGTGTACTTCACCTGAAGATGAAAGAGTGTCCTGAGTCCTGGGTCCCTCTTAATGAAGCTACCCTCAAAGGGTGAGAGATCAACAAAAAATTCTAACGTATCAAAAAAAAATATTCTACACGCATCAACAAAAAACAAATACTGACTCAAAAAATATTCCAAAAAGCAACAGTACTATGATAGCAGCAGTATCGTAGTGGTAGTCGTAGTGTTTCGTGGCAGGTGCAGTACTTTGTGGACCTTGCAATGCACACTTCGTGGCAGGTGCAGGACTTTGTGGATGTTGAAGTGCAGAGTTGGTGGCCAGTGGCAGGCGCAGGACTTTTTGTGGGCCTTGAAGCGCAGATTTCGTGGCAGGTGTAGTACTTTGTGGCCCTTGGAGTGCAGATTTCGTGGCAGGCGCAGGACTTTGTGGACCTTGAAGTGCAGATTTCGTGGCAGGTGCAGTACTTTGTGGCCCTTGGAGTGCAGATTTCGTGGCAGACGCAGGACTTTGTGGACCTTG